GTAAACAGATGCTGGTAAATAGAGATGAATCCTCCCTTCATGACAGCCTGCTTGTGGTCTGGTTTTGAACAATGCTTGATAGTGGTCACTTTGAGAAGGTCATCAAAACTAAGAATTGTATCTTTTTAAGACAGTTCTTACACAAAATTATAGTTGAAATAAAGTACAAGTTGTAATTCTACTAAAGCGAAACAATGACCTTAGTTTCACTGTGGGCCACACGTGACTAACTTGGTTAATACGTACACTGATACTCACTTTAAAATATATGCACTTTCTTCCACTGCAATATATAGTCAATTTGCAACCCAAATTACTCATTAGAAAGTATGTTTTCTAAAAGTACATTTCAAAAATCCAGTTAAGCAATAAGACGAAAATTTATATAAAAATACAACCTTGGACTTAATAAATAAATGATCTTAAATTATTTATTATAGCTTTATATTTAGAAACAAAAGATTGCATTCTCAATAATTAAACAGATTGGATTGTCCTATATACTTGAATTCCACTTTTCACATTTTTATTTGGTTTGTTAACAGTTTACAGAGTCAGTAGTTCACCATTTGTACCTAGTAAGATGTCATCTGTGCAGTCTTGTAGTTCTTTACATTTAATGATCTGAAATGTAAATGAAGATAAACTTATTAGATTTTTGTAGAATATCACTGTAAAAATTAGAAGAGTTTTTGTAAAAATGAAAAACTGTGGTACACCCAGTCCTGTAATTAGATTTAATGACTTGAATCCTCGTGAAGTCAAATTTATTTCAGTAGAGCTCTGCGTGACAGCAAGAATCTACACTAGAAAATCCAATTATAGGATTATGGTCCAAATAGCAGAAGATAACCTTTCCATTGGAAAGTACATAAAGAACCGTAATTCACTGGGGAAGCAGATGATTTGAAAAATGTCTTACCACATTTCTTAAAATCTGTGAGCTATGAGCTTCATACTTACAATAAGTTCGGTTCACAATTCTCATTCTATTAAACCTAGGAATAATGAACCAAAAAAAAAACCATTCTTTAAAATTCTGAGGAGGGAAATAGTAGTGGAGAATTTGAAATACTAGTTTTAATTTCTCTCTGTGGAATTTCTGTTGGATATGTGAAATTAAAAATATTTGTAAAGAGAAAAATGAATCCGTTATAACTGTATCTGCGAGCACATAGTGGTAATTCACAATCAGTCCCCCCTTTCAATTTTGAAACCTACTTCACAGACAGTTAGGTTTTTTTTCAAAACATTTCATTTGGGAACATGAACTTTTTATTCTGTTGATAAAACAACAATACAAACAATTACAGTGATAAGAAGGCTACTCAGACTTTTTCCCTTTTACTAGTTCAAAAACACCAGTGCATACATGGAAGGTTGTACTTTCTTACATCGATGCTGGTAGTTACCATGCTTTTTGGTGGACCAAAAAGTTACTTTCAATTCTTTCTTACTTTCCATTATGTAATGAAAAGCAATGTGGAGTAATATGTAGCTTCTGGTTCTGCCTTGTCAGTGTAAATAAAAACTTCAAACTATCCCTGCAACTTAAAAAGTGATTATGCAAATGCTGAAACATGCTGAAATAAAGTAAATAGAACAGCAATGGGTGAATAAGGGTGGTGTATTTCTTAGACTTCATATACGATATGTAAAAGACAGATCACAAATATGAAGCAGATTCCTTTAAGACAGTTTTTCAAATTTTAATCAAGTATTTCTAAAATATTTCATGTTACTTATGGAGTATGCAAAATAATATGCTTAACTGTTCTACGTGCAATCTTAGAAGTCTGCATTTGAAAGTGATTTCTCAAAATAACTCTGAAGAACAGAGTCTTGATTTTCTGCTTGAATTACAACAGAGCCAAAACCAGAAAATAAATTTGTTTAAATATAGGGGTTATAGCTTAGTAAGATAAAAAATTAAAGAATTATGTGCTTATCTACCTATATACAGACACTGTGTACTATAAATTTCTTCTAACATTGACAGTGACATGTTTGTAGTTAGGAATCCAATTTGAGTGCCATTGTTTCAAAAGTTTCACAGGCTTAGATTACCTAATATTATGTTTGACAGCAGAGGGAGCCAATTTTATTCCATAAACATAAGGGAAGACAAAAACAGATTTTGTTTTTAACAGGAACATTCCTGGTCTTCTTACATTTATCAAGTCAGAAAAGAATAAAAATAATAATTTTTCAGTGACATCTGTAT